TAAAGTACATTACCCCAGTGTCCAACAGTCTAATACCACGCCCGTTGTTGTATAGGAAACGGACGGTTGGGTCACTCCAACGCATTACTCGAAGCCAAAAAATATTTACCATTTTATTGGGTGTATTTAACCAAAAAGTCATCACAAAGATGCAGAAATTATAAATAAATACAGACGAGCTGTGTTAGAGTTAATGTAAAATAGCAGAGCAAAGAGCGAATCACGTATCATGTGAAGGCAGCTTTAGAAGTCTGCTAATCATCACTTTAATGTGTAACGTAAGACATTATGAGGCATCAAACAAGGTTCAACTGAGGTCAATCAGTACAGTAGGGTACACATGTTTACAGTGTTTTATGTTGCAGAGGGGTGAAGTCTAAACAGTATTAGATAAGGGTAGAAGTGGTCAGAACCAACATTGTGTAGGATTTATAGATCGAAATATAAGTCATATTTATAACTATATTTCCATGGATGTTAAATAAACTGAAACGAAGAATGGTTGTGTTTTCTTTAGCTTAGAAGTAGCCCTTCATTGCAATGTTACTACAGCCTTACAACTAGATGCCACTTCATCCAACACACCCTGGATCTTTTAGAACACTGGGCATTATAGTAAAAAAAAAAACAAGCTTAAAGGAAAGTAACCTTACTTGGCTAAAAGCCCTCTTTTATATCCAGGGCGAGAACATAATAGTGGTGCATAATAGTTTTATAACAGTAGTGGACAGTCGCTTGGTCTTCTTTCACCCTTTTTAACTCTTAAAACATTTAAAGGGCCCATGTCATGTTCATTTCTACTGATCATAATTCCATTGTTGAGGTCTACTAAAATAGATTTATACCGAGCAATTTCCCAAACTCACATTGGTTTCTCATACAGCATCTCTGTAAAGTATGTGTGTTCACCGGTATTCACTCTGTCCTAAACGGCTTGTTGGAGCTCCTGCCTGCCTGCCTGCCTGCCTGCCTGCCTGCCTGCCCCCCCAGGAAGTAAACAATGGAAAATAAGAAATCTCCAACAAGGCGTTTTGGGGCAGCATAGACTGTGTTAGAGTTTTACTCGCTGCAGGGTGTACTTTGAGGGTTTTTGACTCTGCAATTTATTTATGCAGAGCGTTTACATGCATAAAAACCTTCATAACACACAAGGGGACGGGTAATAACCGGAAAAGCATGACATGGGCCCTTTAAGAGCATCATGAACCCCCTCCTTCATCCTTAAAACAGCTGGACAGTTTAAACTGACAAGTTTAACCAAGAAAATGACACACATTTGTTTCCACTAACCCGTAACGCTATCTGTTAATCTGGATCCAGAGTGTTGGAGGTATCGGCCGTAGAGATGTCTGCCTTCACTCAAATGTAATGGAACTAGATGACACTCGAGTTGTGATGCTCAAAGCTACATAAAGACTCGTACAAAATACACAAAAGATATGTCTCTTCCAGGAAAATAAGGGACAGTTACTCAAGAGAATCTACTGATCTGGTTGGGGTCTCTTTCACGTCCGAATTGTTTTCTTTCTTTAAAACTAAACCCGCCAACGGGTAAGCTTGAGCCTCTCCATCATGAGGCCAGATGCATGTTGCTTTTGCGCGGTAATGTTTTGCTGGTGTAGTTTGGAAGAAAAAATAATATTCCTACCTGAAACTGCTTCAATCACCACAAGTGCCATGTCATTTTAAAAGGAGATATCTCCAACCTTTTTCATTTGAATTGTTTTGCGTACTGCCCCTTTAAATCTCTTGTTTGACAGCATCACACAGAGGACTGACACTGGGCTGAGGGTAAGGGACAGCACTGCGGTGCTTTAATGATAATGTGCTGTTGTGGTTCAGGTTCTCCACACACTGCAGGGTTTCCCTCCAAGGAATGTTTTTAGTGGTGGTAGCCCACCCTGATCCCCATAGTGTAACATTATCCATTTTGTTTGTAGATGAGGTCGTAAACAAGTATAAAAAGTAAAAGATGTAAAAAAAAATACATCTGCTCTCTTTTCCCTTTTAAAGTTGTACTTGGTAAAAGGGTGATCATTTTTTCTGATCAGTTTTAAAACTCTTTACTGATCTTGAAGCCATCAGTCACCAGTAGTTTCAACACAAAGCATCTTACTGTAAATCTGACAGTTAATGCTGAATATGTCTGCCGGGAACCACTTCAGCTCAGCAGTTTACACAGTAGATAATTATGTCTAATTATGTGACTCATAGCGTGTTTAAACCACTGAAACTTTTGACCAACTGTCTCCACACCGGGTGTGGTTAGTTTTAAAAAGGAAACATGATTCCCTCGTCTGAAAGGCTTCTCTATCTAAAGTTAATCTAAGAAATATGAAGTAGCAACCTTTCATTGTCAACCGGTCCACTCTCTTTAGACATCACTGAAATATCTCAACAACTTTTTCAGTGATCTCCCGAGTCTTCCTCTAGCACCACCAAGACATTTGTTGAAATTCAAACCTTTATGTCCCCTTAAGAATGAATTGAAAGGCCCGTCTAAATAGCCGCACTTGTGTGATGTATATGTATTTATTGCCACCAGAGTTGGGTGTAACGCGTCTGTAATAATATTACTTTTGTCGGTAACGGAGTAGTGTAACGCGTTACTTTTATAATTCAGTAATCACACTACAGTTATTAACATTGTACCGACACGCGTTACTTCGTTACTTTTATAAAATAATCACACTCACTGACAGACAAGAGGGGTTTCCGCCGCCGCAGGTTGGTATACATGTAGGCCTACGTAATCTGCGCGATTTGCCCGTCCACATCTCCACGTGCAGTGCTGCATAAACATGGTCTTTTCATCTGTAAACTTCCTCAAAGGGGCCGCTAGCTCTCTTTTCTTGATTGCCCTCTCACGGGTGAACAGTTCAATGTCCCGCTTCATTGTAGGAATTCTGCCATGTCTCTACCACTTTAGTTTGACCATCTCTGTTCCTAAGTTATGGAAAACTAAATAAATAAATAATTAGATACCTTACCGTTACTGCGCTCATAAAGAATTATAAGAATAAGAATAATGCGTCTTGAACTGGTTTCATTAATTAGTATCTTTACGTTTCACAGACTGTTAGCTTGTTGTGGTAGGCTGGTAGCCTATTTTATTAAAGAGCATATCAAAAGAAAGACTTGTGTTATCTTCCTTAATGCAATATTAATTGGGGGTGCAAGTGGAGTCTCGCAGAGGCAAAACTGTGGCGCGCTTACACTGTAGGTGCGCTGCAGTCTGCGTGATCTGCCTGTAGGGAGGGGCGGGCCGGCCCTGCGAGTAAAGTAACGAGTAAAGTAACGAGTTACTTTATGTAGACAGTAACGAAGTAGTGTAATATATTACTTTAAAAAAAAGTAATATGTAATATAATACTTTTTAAAAAAGATATGTAATATAATCTCTACCACTTTAGTTTGACCATCTCTGTTCCTAAGTTATGGAAAACTAAATAAATAAATAATTAGATACCTTACCGTTACTGCGCTCATAAAGAATTATAAGAATAAGAATAATGCGTCTTGAACTGGTTTCATTAATTAGTATCTTTACGTTTCACAGACTGTTAGCTTGTTGTGGTAGGCTGGTAGCCTATTTTATTAAATAGCATATAAAAAGAAAGACTTGTGTTATGTCTTCATTAATGCAATAGTAATTGGGGGTGCAAGTGGAGTCTCGCAGAGGCAAAACTGTGGCGCGCTTACACTGTAGGTGCGCCGCAGTCTGCGTGATCTGCCTGTAGGGAGGGGCGGGCCGGCCCTGCGAGTAAAGTAACGAGTAAAGTAACGAGTTACTTTATGTAGACAGTAACGAAGTAGTGTAATATATTACTTTAAAAAAAAGTAATATGTAATATATCACCTTTTTTTTTTAGTAACGACCCCATCTCTG